AGGACTACATTCCCTGCATTCAACAGGGCCCTGAGAGGATGGTGGGAACATTTCTCACCCAACTAAGGAGAAAGCAAAGAATTTCTGGGCTGATGCAGAAGGCCCAGCCCCAGTGACCCACTTTGCCCTGGGGTTGGGGTCTAGCACTCTCCCCGGGGAATGCTCCGCCCATGAAAGTGAAGCACAGGGGGATGTCCTCCGTCCGTCTCTTACCTTACCCTCACCCCCTGACCTCTCCCTTCTCTTTGTTGGCCACAGGGATCTGGGTGGCTGGGGGAGCAGGGTAAAGGGAGACTAGAGGGAAAATAGAACGATTCCCTAAGATCCCTACGAACGTTGGTGGAATGATCACCACTGCTGCTTCTCAGCGCTTCACCCTGGAGAGGGCAGAGCAGAGCAGATACAGCGAAAGCGTCACACTCACCCGGTCCGTGTCTTCTTTAATTGCTTTCTTGTTTATTGTTTGTTGTACCCCACAGGAATGTGAGCTCCGTAAGGCAGAAGCCTTGTCTTTCTTGATTCCTCATTGCTGTACCCCCAGACCTCTAACCGTAGCTGGCATATAGTAAGCATTGGGAAAATAACTATTTGTGAGTGAGTGAACAGCATTGCTGCACTTGAAATGGGAGTCACACGGTTCCGCCCCACCCTCTGTCTTTGACCCTGACAGGCAAGAGAACCTTGGCACTGAGTCACAGCAGGAAACCAGGGAAAGCTGAATGGGTCAAACAGTCCAACATCTTGACTTGGATAGAACGGGGTCCCAAGCTTGGCTCGGGCACCGTGGGCAGAGTGTTTGGCCACACTGAATGTTGGTTGCCACTGTTTTAAAATGGGGTCTACTGCCTAACTTGTACTGCTGGTGTAAAAAGAAATGAAAACTAGCGTGCTGTTTTTTGGTTTAAGGTGTGAAGATGGTACACAATAATAATCATTCTTCTCCCTTCACCCACTTTTCTGTTGTCCGCCCCCCAGGGAGGGAGTTATATGTAGATCATTGTGACCGGTTCCCCCTTTCTACCCCACCCTTCCTCCACCCTCCCAGGATCGCCACTCTCACCACTGGTCCCGAGGGGTTCATCTGTCCTGGATTCCCTGTGTTTCCAGTTCTGTACCAGTGTACATCCTCTGGTCTAGCCGGATTTGTTAGGTAGAATTGGGATCATGATAGTGGTGGGGAGGAAGCATTAAAGAACTAGAGGAAAGTTGTATGTTTCATCGTTGTTACACTGCACCCTGACTGACTCATCTCCTCCCTGTGACCCTTCCTTAAGGTGATGTCCAGTTGCCTACAGATGGGCTTTGGGTCCCCACTCCACACTCCCCCTCATTCACAATGATATGATTTTTTTTTGTTCTTTGATGCCTGGTACCTGTTCCCTTCAACACCTCATGATCACACAGGCTGGTGCGCTTTGTTGCTTCTGAGCTAGATGGCTACTTGTTTATAAGGAAGACATCGGACAGTGTATGACATAACAATATAATAATTTATAAATTATTAAGGGTTCATGAAGGAGGGGGCAGGGAGGGAGGGGGAAATGAGTTACTGATGCCAAGGGCTCAAGTAGAAAGAAAATGTTTTGAGAATGATGATGGCAATGAATATACAGATGTGCTTGACACAATGGATGGATGTGTGGATTGTGATAAGAGTTGTACAAGCCCCCAATAAAATGATTTTAAAAAATAAAAAATCATCGTTTTCCTCAGAGACCCCTCGTCTCTGTTGTACTCTCTTTAAGCAAGGGTAGTAAAACGGGGAGCTATATCTCCTGGGGCTGGGCCGTTCTGTATTATAAGGGAACAAGCTGGGAATTGCCCCGGGGGAGATACAAGCACCCGTGGTGGAACATCTACCCCGGGACAGACCCCAGGGATCCCAACCGAAAGTCTCATACTGCAACCCTATTACATGTAGCTTGTGGCCAGGAGAAAGGCCACTCCAATGTTGCTGCTACTTCTGATAGGATGAAAAGAGATACATCGTATGCAACTTTTGAAAGAGAACTTTATTACCCCACTAAGAAGCAGCTGCCGTGATTCCAGACCTGGATGGGGACCAAGCCTTTGGGGTTTCCAAGCAAAGGCACAAAAAGAGTCCAGCTTTTGTCTCTGCATCACTAGACCAGGATCTAAGTAGATGTCTCAGGAAAAACACCTCACCTGCTTGGCCCTTCAGTACAGGTTCGGGCAATGCGTTCTTGTTGGATATTGGATTCTCCTGCTCCATGCCTACCTCGCTGAGCAGGAAAGTAAGTCAGATCAACATCCTAGACTTTCAGATCAGGAAGGTTATGGGATTTTAGCCATTGTTCCAGATCATCAAGCAGGAACTTTCTGGCCACCAAGCATAAAGGCCACATCCTGGAGGGCCACCCACAATTCTAGAGTGCAAAATAAGAGCCCCCTGACTTTCTAGTTGTTTCGGTGAGAACTTTACATTATAAAATGACCACATTCCAAATCCATCCTCAATTTGACATTCTGGTTGTCAACCAGGAGCATAGAGTTCCGGCCTGCTGAATGAGAACCATTTGAACATTCTTGGTGACAAGCCAGGAATTCAATCTTCTAAAATGGAACAGACAAAACCACCGGAACACAAATAATGGGTCAGGGATTAAAAGTTCTGAATGTCAATCCCAACAGTCTCACTGTCACACTAGGAACCCAACAGTTAAGGCTACCAAGCCTGGCCTTGGAATTTGGGGTAAAAAGCACAAAGCTCCATCCTTCAGAACGTTGCTGCTTTGTCCCCTTAGAGCTCTGTGGATGGTCGCTCTGTGTTAGACTTGTCCTCCTGGCTGGGCTCGGGCACACGGAAGGAAACATAGGGGCAGGTCTTGGTGTTGAGGCAGACCAGCTTCTTCAGTGTAGCAGTCTTGACAATGTTGAAACCTGTCTCACCGCCAAATGTACTGGGCTTCCAGTACTCCGGAGAGCAGATGGGGTTCCCTAGGAGTCCCTTGAGGGAAAAGGGAGCCCCAATTTCTATCATACTTTCCCCAAAGATGGAGTTCGGAAGACACTTCTCCAGAAGCAGCCCCGGGTAGAACTCCATGGCATTGATATCACCATAGAGCTCTTCCAACTCCGCCGCCATCGCCTTCTCCCCTAAAAGAGACAGAAACTAGCCTCACCGCCATGCAGCCAGGATGGTCAATTGAGGGAGGGCACCTCCTCAGCCCATCTTTTACTGAGGACAGTAAGGGAGACCGGAGCAGCCATCTGAGCAGCTGGGCACATGAGCAAACCGCTGGTAGACTTTGGGAAAAGCACAGACGGACTCTCCTCCAGGGCTGGACCTCGGGAAGGAACGTGCTTTGGAAGAGAGTCCAGGGGCTTGGATCTGCCACCACACTGTGGGACCTTGAGCTAGTCACCTTACTGCTTTGATCCCTAATTACCTGATCATTATAACAGGAAGAATGCTACCCCTCTTTCTCCCTTCTTAGGTAGACTTCAAAACCTCATCTTAGTCCACACCTCTTCATTCTGTTGAAGCTCGGAAACCCAAAGAACTGGTCCAAGCTCACAGAGAGGTACAGTGACAGCGTGTTTTTTTCTGCCACTTTGGACTTCGGGTCATAGAAATTCAAGACTAAGTGCTCTGAGGATTTTGAAAAACTCCTCGGCTGGTCCCAGGATCGCTCTCACTCTGTGGAACAACACACAGGCTAACAGTTAGGGATCAAGTTTAAACAAGCATTGAGCACTTCTTCAAGTCCATCCTCCCTGGGGCATTAATACAAAATCATAGACACATCCCATCGTGCTCAGAATCCTCCAAAGACCCTTCATTTATCTGTGGCAGGAGTCCCCCAAATTAGCCATGCGACACCTCGAGATCTCAAACATACAGATTTTTGTGCACCACCCAGCTTACTCCCAGAGTCATCATCTCTGGGATTTGGCATTGTGATTCTGTTTCCTACGTGATTCCTATGTAGCTGACCCCCTAAGTGGGCATTTAGGAGCCACTGGACAGAATAAGACATGCTGGACAATGCCAGGCGTGGCTGCTAACCAACGTTGAGAGGTTTAAGTTCATCCAGAGGGGCGTCAGAAGAAAGAATTGAAAAGCCATCCACTGAAACCACTATGTTGTCTTCTGACAGGCCTAGGATCATCAGAAGATGGGGTGACTCCATGGAAACCGGGTAGGGTTCCGTTTGTTTAGGCATCATGAAACCCAATTGTGCACAATACGGCCCCCATCACCTAAGCCCCATGTTGCAGCCACACGACTGCTTTCTGTTCCCTCAAGAGGTGCCTTCTTTCTCACCCCCGTGCCTTCTCTCTAGAAGCAGGGTGATTTGCTCTATCATTTCGCTCCACCAGTCACAACGCTCTCATTGGCCTTCCCATCCCATGGTGCTGACCCAGATCGGTGGTCTCTCCCTCGCTGTGTTTGCGCCTCCAAGGGCAAGGATTGGGTCCAGGAAACAGCTGCTCAGCTCACCTGTTAGCTCCTGGAAAGAGAGGTAGGGCTTCATGCCAAACCGCTTGCGGTACTCGTTGAAGGGCTGCAGCTGCAACTCTCGCGATTCTTTGATGGCCTCCACAGCCACGTGCAGGACGTGCTGGTCTATGTTCCTCCCCCCACCGATCTGCCAAGACATGAGCACAGGTGTCGTCTGAAAGCCAGGCTCGGCTGCCCTGTAGCCTGTGGTAGGGCCTTGGGAAACGAACGTCAGGCCCCGTTTCCTCGCTGAGCTAGACAAGAGAGCATGACCCTACGGCTGCCACTGCCATGCTCTCTCAGGGACCCACCGCAGGGATCTCAGTGTGCTCAACTTGGAAGTGTTCGGTGGGGCTGGAGGAATATCCCTAACAGTTCCCAAACTCACACTGTTGTCCCTTCCCTTAGTTCCAGATGAAAGCCCCCCAGGCCCCGCGAAAGACGTTTCTGGATCGATTAGGTTGGACAATAAAGATTCTGCCACCAAAGTGATGGCCAGCATTACCAAAGCCAAGAACAAAAGCTGAAGAGGAGGGAGCCCCAGCTCTGGAGATGAGAGACAGAAGGATTTCCGTGCCGACCAGTGATATGAAGAGAAAGATGAGGAATACTAGTGTGGGGTGCCAGGAGTTGGGGGAATCGGATAAGAAATCCACTTTATGGCTCACCTAAAATGTTTTTTAAGTTACATTCGAGCAGAGCTGATATGGACATGCCACTCTCCATGTCCATTTTTATCATAGAACAGAAATCATTCATTTTCTGTGGCTTTTGAAGATATATTTTTAAATTTATTTTGAAGTTACTAAAAATATGCAGAGCAAAACATACGAGGGCTTCAGAGAAGTCCATGCAAAAATCCCATTGCTTTTCCATTCTATTTGCCCACAAACCCTTTGGAGCCCCTACCTACCCCCATTCAGCAGTTTCTATATATGCAACTCAGTCGATCCAATTACATTCTTGTTCTCCTTCACAGAAATTCACAGCCCCTTAAACTTCGTATCTAATCTTCCAAGTCGCTGTTGTCAATTTGATCCCATGGAGACTCTTTACAAGAGCCTAATGCTAGTTTAGCGAAGCTAAACTATAGTTCAGTTCTAAGAAGGCGTCTTCGTTTACCCCTTAAAGATGAACCTGGGGCAATAATTGCAGGGTTTCACCCAGCCTTCCAGGCTCTGGGAAGTCTGGAGCATGAGAATGTAAGAGTCTGTTCTGCATTTCCCCCTTTGGGATCAGGATTCTCCTGTGGCATTTCTGGTCAAAGTCTTCATGAATGGCAGCCGGCATTCTCCAGTCCTGGCGGCTCACCGCAAAGAGGCCAGTTGTTCCTGGAGACAAGGAGCTACACATTGCATGTGCTCCTCTTATTCCTGACCCCCGCTGGTTCCAGGCAAAGAGAGACCAGTGGGGGTGCCTTCGGGGGTCGCTGGCAAGCTTGAAGACACCCAGTCACTACTCATTGAATGAAGAGGCAGAACCAAAGCATTAAACAGGTAACTAGACCAATAACTGGGACATCCCATGAAGTCAGGACCCTAGATCTCCAAAGAAACCTTGTCCCAGGAGGTTCATCATTGTACTTAAGTAGCTACTTGTTGTCGCTGTTATTGTTATAAATATATCTATCAGCCAGCTTTTGCAAGTTCAATTTTTTACAGACATGCAACTTATTGACAGCCATTACAATAATTAGCTATTCAATCAATGCAATATTTCAATCATCATTGACCCTCAACCTTTCCCTCTCCTTCCCACCCTGGTAACCACTAACAAACTTTGATCTCCATGCATTTGCCCTTTCTAGTCTATTATATAAGCTAGATCATGCAATATTTATCCATTAATGATTGGCTTGTTTCACTAAGCATAATGTCTTCCCATAGTGTAGCATAAGTGAAGACTTTAGTATTCCTACTATCTGAGTGATATTACTTGTATAGCTGTACTATGTTTTGTTTATCCATTCAGCTGTTGGTGGGCATTTAAACTGTTGCTACCTTCTGGCCATGGTGAATAAGCCTGCAAATGAACCCTGGTATACAAGTCTCTGTTGGGGCATCTGTTTCCAAGTCTTTGGGTGCATACCTAGAAGTGAAATAGCTGGGTCATGTCGTAATTGTAATTTTTCATATCTTGAGGCACTGCTGCACTACTTTCCACAGTGGCTTTACCATTTTATATTTCAACCAGCAATGGGTAACACTTCCAATTTCCCTACATCATCACTAACATTTGTTATGATCTGGGGTTTTCTTCTTTTTAAAAGCAAAAACAAAAACCTTACTCATCCCAGTGAAAGTGAGCTGGCATCTCACTGTGGTTTTGATTTTCATCTCTCTAACGGCCAATGAAGGAACCCAGGTGGTACCGGGGAATAAGTGTTGAGCTGCTAACCGCAAGGTTAATGGTTCAAACTACCACTGCTCCTTGGGAGAAAGGCAAGGCTGTCTGCTTCTGTAAAAATTTACAGTCCCGGAAACCCGAATGAGCTAGTCTGCTCTGTCCTGTTTTAATTTGCACTGAATGGTGCCTGGATGCCATTACTAAACACTTTGATTAATGGGGCTGCAATACGGCAGAATCCACTCAATGGCAGTGGGTTTGGGGCTTGAACGACTGACTCTCAGTATCTTTGCATGTGGTTGGTGGCCATTTGGATGTCCTCATTAATGGAATGTCTATTCAAACTCTTTGCTTGAATAACCCAATTGTATGAGTGGGTTATTTATCCTTTTGTTATCAACAAAGGATAAGTTGTCCAAGTTTTCCGTATATTTCAATTTTTAGATTATGGTTTGCTATACAAGCACAGTTTTTGAAGACACTCTCCCAGCCAACAACTGGTCTTCTCACTTGTTTGGTAAAGTCTTTTGATAATTTTTATGAGACTCCATTTCTTATTTTGTCTTTTACAGTGTGTGGTTTTGTTATTATATTAGACCACCTATTTTGGGAAGCAAGGCTTGACTGTGTTGTCCCTGATTTTACTTTAAGAATTTTATGGCTTTACTTTGTACATTTAGGACCTTAGTCCATTTGACATCTGTTTCTGTGCACGATGTGAGATGGATACCTCATACATGGAGTATACCTCTCCCATTTTTCTGCACGTGAAAATTCCATTTTCCATACCGTTCATTAAAAATATACTTCTTGCCCCATCAAATGAACTTAGCACCCTTGTCAAGAATAAGTTGACCATAGATGTGTGGGTTTATTTCTGGACGTTCAATTCTACTTCATTGGGATGGCGAGACGTCATCTCGCATAGTCCCTGGAAACAGCCATCTGCTTGGTAAAGTAGAGGGGCAGCAAAAAAGAGGAAGACACTCAACCAGACGGACTGACACCGTGGCTGCAACAATGGGCTCAAACATAACAACAACTGTGAGAATGGGACGGCATGGAGCCAGGCAGTGCTTCGCTCTGCTGTACATAGGGTCGCTATGAGTCAGGACTAACTGGACAAGACCCAACAACAATACGTAGTGATTGTTATACCAGTATCAAGCTGTTGTTACGGTGATAGCTGTGTCCTGCTAGTAGGTGCCATTGAGGGGATTCTAACTCATAGCGACCCTGTGTCCAACAGAACGAAACACTGCCTGGTCTTGTGCCATCTTCACAATAACAATTATAGTTGAGCCCATTGTTGCATGCACGGTGTCATTCCATCTTTTGACGGTCTTCCCCTTTTTCTCTAACCCTACTGTACCAAGCATGCTGTTCATCTCCAGGGACTGGTCCCTCCAGATGACACATCCAAAGTATGCGAGATGTGAAGCTTCACCATCCTTGCTTCTAAAGAGCACTCTGGCTACATTTTTTCCAAAACACATTTGTTCCTTCATCTAGAAGTCAATGGTGTATTCAATATTTAATATTCTTCATCAACCATGTAGTATTTTTAAGAGCAGAAAGTGTGGCGGCTCCTACTTTATTCTTCTCTTTCAACATTGCTTTAGCTATTAAGGGCCTCTTGCCATTCTATATAAGTTAAAGATTGATCTTTCCATTTCTATAGAGGAAACGGTTGCAATTTTTATCAAAATTACATTGAATCTATCGCTAGCTTTGGGTAGATTACATTGAATCTATAGCTATCTTTAGTCTTAATAACATCTTAAGACTGGGAAATCGTCCAATTCATGAACATACAACATCTCTCCGTGTATTTAAGTCTTCTTCGATCTCTGTCAGTAGTGTTTCATAGTTTTTATTGTGTAAGTCCTTCACAACCCTGGGTCAACTTATTCCTAGGTACTTGATTCTCTTAGATGCTATTGTGAATAGAATTATTTCCCTTTCAGATTTCCAACTGATTTTTGTTGGTTGACCTTGTACCCTGTAACTTTGCTAATTTCCTCTATTAGTCCTAGGATTTTTCTTGTGGGAGATGGTCTTTTCAAGAATCTGTTTTTATTTCTTTTCATTCTCTGTTGAGATTCAACAAAAATATATTGAGCATCTAATATAAAAAGTGAACCCCTAGGCACAAGCCACCACTAAGAAGAAGACAGAAGGAGTAGGAATGTAGCACCACAAAGCATCAAGTCACTCCATTCAAACCAGATAAAGCCCATCATAGAACAGGGGTGGCAACGACCTCTTCTTTCTCCTCCTTCTGCTAAGCTGCCCAGGAGAAGAAAGGCTGCAAGCTAGCAGGGATGGAGCTGAAATTTTCCTAGAAAAATTATATATCTAAACCAATTTAAACTAAACTTGGAGTTTAATGCAAGTCGTTGTAATATCCCTTGAAGCAAGAAAACACAGACTATAGCCGGGGTACCCTGGTGGGGGAAAGGAGACTTCAGAAGAAGATTCTGGTTCAGACCAGTTTAGGCGCGTGGGTTAAAGAAGGCGCTATTGCTCAGAATGAGTGCGTAGGATTAAGGAAGGATTATGTTTGGGTAGAAAAGGTATAAGATGATAGGAAAGAGGAAAAGCCCAGTTGGATAAAAATGTATGTGGGGGCAAAATTAGGAGAGGTTGTGACCATATTGGCTCTACCATCTGCAAGCTGTAGAACGTAGTCATGGGACTTAAGTTGCATGTATGCAAAAATGGGGAAATGCAATAGCATGTGCCTCACAGCGTTGCGGTGCCAGGAGATAAAGTATGCAAAGCAGCTATTACAGTGGGGCCACATGATAACTCCCAGGTCGAGAGCCTTGGGTGATGGTTTTCAGGGGTAACCCTGCTCTCTCGCTCTTCAGTCTTCTACCCTTGTGGCCTTGTGCCACATCATTTCCACACATATCACCAGGGTCATGCCTTGAAAATGTTTTGGAAACCACACCTCACCACACAAACATCATTATCTCTGTGCATCTGTGTCCCCACAGAGGACAGAAGCCCAAACCAGTCCGCAGCTGCCCACGGGTGGCAAAATATGCTAAGTTCAGTCAAATGGCCGGGAGGAGCCCAAAATCCAGATGGTGCCACAACTTCCTGATAGGGCTTGAGAGGAGAAAGAAACAAGGGTTAAAGATGAGAATTATGGCACCAGAGAGCCAGGATGAAGGATCTGGGAGCTTCTGAGTCAGGAAAAGAGAATATTTAGGAGGTAGCCAGTAAGGCCTCCCAAAAGAGGCCTATGATTTAATAAGCACATACTATGTATGTACAGGCACTTTCACATACATGACAATTCCCTGAACATCCTGTTCCTTGCATCACCTGCTCTCTGGCCTCTGGGCCTTGCCCGTGCCGCCCTGGCTCTGAAAGACAGCTGTCACCGATGCTCTCTTCCCCAAAGGAAACCGCTATCCATCATGTCACTTCCTAACCCATAACCCCCACCCTGGATCAGAAGCCCCCTCTCCCTGATCTCCCAGCACACCATGCGCTCTTTGTACTTTGGTTCCCCTCATGTGTTTATAATTCCAATGACATCTAAAAAGTATTAAACATGTGCCCGTGCCTACCGCACAACAAGTGCTCAAAGGATCTTAGCTATGGCAAGAAAACAGTCCCTCTCTAGAGTATAAGTTGCAAGAGGACCGGGGGTCTTATTCACCACTATTTCCCCCAAGACCTGGACTAGTGCCTGGCCTTGCTGAGTGGCTGAACGAACAAGACAAGGACTGAAAGGAGGCTCACAGTCCACCCTCAGAGGTTGGCACCCCTCTCCCTGTACAGAAGCAGCATGGGATGGACACCCAGATCTGCCACTGCTTGGAGCCCACAAGCCCTCCCGGGCTGCCTCGGGGACTTACCCGGCCAGCAGGCTGCCGAGAGAAGGCATCCACCAGAGCCTCGACCCCATAGTCCACCAGCATGGAGGTGTTGAACAAGAACTGCTTGTAGCTGTACTCCCGGGAGCCCACCCTGAAGGCGTCAGGCATGAGCGGGTGCCAGCGGTAGAGCTGGTTGAACTCCACAGCAATGCGGTTGCGATACTGGAACTGGACGCCAAACAGCAACTCTGGGTCGAACTTGAGCTGCAGGAAGTAGCCGCTCAGCTGCTGCACGTACTCCTCAATGACGATCTTGATGGTCTCCCCTGGGCAGGGGCCGGGCAGGCGGGAAGAGGGGCGGCAGAAGACAATGACTTAGACTCCCAGCTTGGGAATCAAGTCAGTTCCCGAAAGGTGCTGGCTTGATTTCTGCTTCTCAGTGGCCTGTTGTCCTTGCTGTCATGGCGAGTGAGATGTCCTTGGAGTGGGCCATTTCTCACTTTGTCTTTTTTACATGATGTGAACGTGAAGGAGGAACCCCCCCCCCCCCCAGGCATTCCCCCTCCCCGCCTCGCCCCCGCCCCCCACAGTTCCAAAGGTGGCTGAGCTAGCCAGGGCATGCAAAGGAAGTAGCCACGAACTACAGCTTTTTAAAGAGAATGGAGAGGCCACAAAGCATGGCAAAACAGAGGACTGACTTAGTCAGACCTCCCAGCGTGCTGTCACCCTCGAAGGTGGGGAGGAGGGGAGGGAACTTTGAAGAAACCCCTCAGAGAGCTGCTGCTGATGCTGCCAGGAGAGGAACACGGGGAACAACAAGAAGCCTCTGACGCCCGCAAGCCCCTGTGTGTCAGAGAACTGCGCTCCTGACTGTTGTCTCCAGGGGAATTCGAACTGCTCACCTTTTGGTTAGCAGCCAAGTCTTGGACCATTTGCACAACCTAACAACTCAAGAAGAAAACCTAGGCTGGAATATATTTTAAAACTCTGTTTCTTATAAGGTTTTATATGCAAGAACGCCTAAGAAGAGATTTTGGTGGGGGTACCTCACCCTCTGCTTCTCAGTAGCCCATGACCATGTACAGAACCAGGGGAGAAACAAATTGAGCAGCCCACAACAAACTGAAAACTAGTCACCTAGATTGTTAATCAGTGATATTTTGATCCATCAGTCACTAGAAAAATCGGCCCCTGGGTTTGAAATCATTAGACCTGGCCCCAAATCTGGGCTCCAGAGTGTCACTTAGTTTCTCTGAACTTCACTTCCCAAACTGTAGAATCTCTGTAAGCATAGAGCCTGCTTCAGAGAGTTGTTTATGAAGACGAAGAGTTCACAGTCAAGGTCTCCAGACTGCTTGTCCCAGGGCCCCACACATAAGGAGCGGCGACGAGACATGTGCAGGCCCGCTAGAAGCAGCAGTACTAAATAGAGGTGCAAGGGGTGAGTCCCCACCCGATGCTCACGCATCACAAAAGGTATTTGCAATGTCTCTCCATTCCCAAAAGAGTCCCCTGCCATAGCAATGAACTTCAGTGCAGGCAGACCTGGGCTCAAGTCTCCTGATGCTGAGTGATCTTGGAGAATTCACTGACCCTCCCTGAAGCTTCATTTCCCTGACAAGAACAATATATGGCTCAGAGTCTCCTTGGATGTATTGGATGTCCTGGGAGTCCTCCCTACCTTGGGTAGTCACGTTGATTGTGCTGGGCAGCCTCAAGCCACAGATTTGCCCCCCTCGGGTCAAGGTCTCTCAGGGCTGGGATTTCAGAACTAGCCTCTCTCCCTCTCCAGGCCATTCCTATGCCCAAAGCCGGACTCTTCCAGGCTCCAGTGAATCAGGCACTATAATTGGAGTCAGCCATGCCCAGTGATGGGTAACAGTGGGGGAAGGGGGTTACTGGTGACTCAGAAAGGACAGGACCTGGACAGGGATGTCAGAGGCCAAAGTCCCAGGCAGGAAACCATCTGACATTTTAAGCTGCAGACTCACCAAAGGATACAAAAATATCCTGCCCGGGTTACCCAAAAGCTCTTGATTTCCAGAAAGGCAGATAGATACAAGCAGGGCAGGAAATGTGAAGCTTCTTAAAGGCTGGGCAAGCTGGGAGTTGTCCCAACACATGTTGGGGACATCACCGGGTACAGTATCACCAAAATTGGGCACAGCTCATCAGCTTTTCTATCAGTTCCCAGCTTGCAACCAGATTATCCTGATGGTCCAGTTTCTGGAAGCCTCCTATCCCCTCCCATTCATTCTCAACAAATCCGCACAACTGCCAGTCTCCCCAGTGAGTGGATTTAGAGACTGAGTGAAAGGCTCTGTTGAGGTCTTATAGTTGGTAAGCAAGGAAGCCAGGGTTCTCATCCCAATGCTCTGTCCCTAATCCACCCACCCCCACCCACGCACATCTCAGGGGAGAGCTCACGACTGGCCAGGGCAGGGCAGGTTGGGAGCCCTCACCTATGAGGATGAGGCGGGTGGTCTGGAAGAGCTGCTCGTCATCCCAGGTGGGGTGCTCGGCCTTTAGCAGGTCACACACACGGTTGTGCTCACGCAGCCAGATTGTGGCATAGAGCATGAGCCCTGGAAGCAGCCCAAACACCTCCTGGCCCACAGCCATCTGGTCCCGGGGTGAAATGTTCGGTGGGTAGCGCATCAACACTGGTGCTTCTTCCACCGACGGGGGGTACATGTCTCCATTCAGCACCTATGGAGAGGGCCACCTGGTCACCTGGGACAGCGGGCCATCCACACCTGCCCACAACCCACACCTTTCTATGAGCTCACCCCTTCCTATTCCTACTTACAACCATCGCCCCACCCCGCCGCCCTTCCTTCCCCAAGCAGGGATGCTGCCCACCCTCTTCTACCTCTTGGATCGCTTTTTAAATGGATCCCCTTCTCTCCGCCCCCACTACCATCATCTGCATCCCTCATCCCTCGTCTCCTACCCGGATTCCTCTGAGTGGGCTTTCCACGCCCACTCCCACCCCATAACAGCTCATTCCCCCCACTGCAGCCAGAGCAAGCCTTTAAAAGAGGTTCATCGCGTGTCATTCCCTGGTATAAACCCTTCCAGGTCCCCTCTCTGCTCAGGAAGAAACTACAGTTTCTCTGAATCATTCTTATGCTTAACCAATAGGTTCAGCAACACTCCCCTTCTTTCCCTCCAAGCTGCAAGCCTTTGCCCATGCTGCGCCCTCCACCTGGGAAGCCCCGTCCCCCGCTTTGCCTTCCTAACTCCTGCTCATCCTTCATGCAGGTCTCTGTTCCTTTGTACCTGCCCAGAGTGGTTTCCCGATCCCCTGAACACTCTGGTGGCCCTGGAGCTTCTCCCTGGTAGCACTTGTCACAGGCACGATTCGCGATTTGGTCATTTCTTTATTTGCCCAATAACTATACAGAGTCTACTGTGAGCCCTAAGCTTCATCAGTGAACTTTTTGTTTCTCTTTGTTCCCCTTGTGATGTCTAATATGGGAGCCACTGCAAACAGTGTAAATAAAGAAAATAACTGCTCCTTTTATGTCATTCCATCTTTTAGAAAGTGGATACTGTAGTTATCAGGAAACTCTCAAATATGTTCAGAACGACTCAGGCACGTGAATCTATTTTTCCTATGTAAATGTTATGAAATCTAAGGGCAGATCAAATATTTTGAATGGGTGCAGCCAATTAACTATGATGTTTCCTGCGTTATCACCTGGATAACTGGGCCAAGCACATCGTAGTGCCCAATTACCCCTGCGGAATGATTAAATAAATAAATGGAGCCTGGAAATGTCCACCTCCTATTGAGCCTCAAAAATCCACTCCCCAGAATGAGATAAAAGGCCACATCTGCTCCTCGTTGGCTTCTTGTGCCTGGGGACCTCTCCCAAGGTTTGACCATTGTCCCTAGATTGTCTCTCCTCCTAGTCCACTATTGGCTCCTGCCACTGACCCTCTCAGGACAGTACCTAGGTTCCCCACAGTCTTTGCCACAAGAGACTGTCAGAGACCTTTCCCGTCAGCCCAGCCCCAGGTCCAGCACTACCTGGTATTTGAGTTTCCCATCTTCAAAGAGCCGCAGCTGATGCTGACGTTCCAGGTTGTCTCCATAAATGTGGCCTAGGTCTACCTGAGGACAGAGAGGGTATACTCAGATGTCCCAGTCCTGGCCCATAGCAATGACCCGCTGGTGCCAAGCACTGAGAAATCCTGACCTGTTCCCCCCACCCCCCACCCTCGGAGAAACTCACCCCATGGCCCAAGGCCTTGGTGAAGCCAGGACCCATCTTTCCAGAAGTTTTGAAGAATTGGTGGGTAAAATGTTGTGCAAAAAAGGCAAACATGAGGTTGGTGCCTTGAGGATCAGGTATGAACTTCCTCCGGAGCAGGAAGCGATGGGCCAGGAGCTGAGCATCTGGCAACTGTTTCTTTCCTGGTTGGGAGGTAGAAAGGAGCAGGAGTTGGCCACCTGTCCGGGTCTTCTGGGCTCCCCAGGCCAAACTGGCCCAAGCACGAAGCCCAGAGTGGTCTCTGCCAAGCCATGTATCACCCACCAGTTGGCCCCTGCACTTTCTTCTCTTCTAAGGACCTTAGAAGTATTTGTGGGTGAAATAGCATGATAACTAGAATTTGCTTTAAGTTGCTCCTTTGAAGAAAAATAAGGTGAGAAGGTGTAGAGGAAATGTTGTCATCGTTGTTAACTGCCATCAAGTCAGTCCCCTGACTCACAGTGAACCCAAGCACAACAGAACAAAATGCTGTCAAGTCCTGCAGCATCCTGACGGTGGGTGATGGGTCTGCCGGGTAAAACGTAGGAACTGTGGCCAGGTATTAAAGCTGGGAGATGGGTACATAGGATGTCAGCAGACTCAACTCTAACATACATTTGAAATTTTCCCATTTAAAAAAAATGGTTTAAAAGAAACAAGCCCACATGAACTTCCTGGTGTTGGGGCAAGGTTGCCTATGCCTAAACCTGGCTGTGCCATTGACTACCTGTGTGTACCCAGATAAGGCATTCCTGAGCCTCCATCCCTATGGCTGGAGAGCAGGCCAGGTGGTGTTTATCTTATTCACTGACTTTGAGGGTGACATGCGACAATGAAAACGACAGCAGCTGACTGGTGAGGGAGAATCTTTCAAATCAAGGTTCAACAAACATTTTCTACAAAAATCCCTACAGTAAATAGTTTAGACTTTGCAGGCCGACTACTCAACTCTGCAGGAAAAGAAGCCATAGACAACATGTAAGCAAATGGATGTGATGATGTTCCAAGACAATATTATTTGGAAAAAGCAGGAGGCAACTGGATTTAGCATCATCGGGGCCATAGTTTGCCACCTCTGCTTCCAATGATCCCAGGCTCCCTGTGTCGGGGGTTAAGACGGGTCAAGAGCATGAGCACTTGAGAGGCTTTCTTTGACCGTAAAAATGTTACCTGGGTTGGCACCCGATGCCCTAAGAGAAAGGACCTGCAGAACTCCCTGTGCTGGTACAGGCATTCCTTGACAAAACTTCTTGTACGACTAATGTCGAACCTTCAACTCTCGTAGAACCTTCTTTGGTTCAGGAAGATCAGCTGGATCCCACTGGCAGGAATGAGTATCAAGCACCCCAAAAGAGAGCTCAGCACAATGCCAGCTATCTGGCAAAACAGTCCTACTTTTAGGATAGTCACTAAACACATACAGACCACCAGAATGGTAATCACGAGCTTCAGTGTAGCCGTCAGTCTGGAACTGTTGGGTAAGCATTGGAATAACCACAGGGTCAGCTGTTTGAAACCACCAACAGCCGCTCTATGAGGGAAAGATGAGGCTTTCTACTCCTGAGCAGCTGATGGTTTCGAACTGCTGACTTGTAGATAGCAGGCTAACGCATAACCACTATACCAGGGATCCTTGAGACCAGTATTGGGTACTCCGAGTGAGTGTGTGTGTGTGTGTGTGTGTATGTGTGTGTTCCTTATTTGTGTGTGTATACCCTATACTGGTGAAATATGTGAACCTATTTATATTATTAAGAACCAAAGACAGAGTTCAGACCAATCAAACTTATTGCCAACCCATAGGACCCTATAGGACAAAGTAAACGTACCCTTTGGGGTTGCTGGGGCTGTAACTCTTTATGGATTGACGCTGTGGCTGCAACAATGGGCTCAGACAGGAGCTCAATCGTGAGGATGCAGGACCGGACAGTTCGGTTGTGCATAAGGTCACTATGAGTCAGAACCGCCTTGATGGCACCACACAACGATGATAACAAATCATTGACGGGAATACAAAGTCTCATCTTTCTACCTTGGAGCTTCCGCTGGTTTTGAACTGCTGACCTTGTGTGTAGCAGTCCAACATAGGACCAACCAAGCCACCGGGGTTCTATAGCACAGAGTAGCACAAAATAAGTGGGACATTTGTCTTTCCTTTCCACTTTTCAAGTTGTCCCCACCCCAGCAGGGTCCCGTTCCCTTCCCTTCGTTGGCCAGGTTTCGGGGGAGTTGCCCCCTTGGAGGCCCGTTTTGCTTCGGCCGGGGGTTTTTTGGTTGCCTTGACCCAAAGGGCCCCTTTCATTCCCTTTTCTTTTCTTCGTTTTCCAAGCTTGCCTTCCCCTGGTTCTGGATATATCCTTGCCCTGCCTGGGTCCACCTATTTGTGAAATGGACCAGTCATTGTTCTTTTTTGCCTTGAGTTTTTTTTTTCCCCAAAGAGAACAGTGCCTGTGATCCCTAAACCCATCCACCCACCCTATCTCATTACCTTTGGTTCCCATGGGTGTCGGGCAGTCTCGGGGCACGGAAGGCAGAATGCGGGTGTAATAGCTCACGTTGGAGAAGGACTCCCAGCTGACATAGTCATGTGCTGAGTTGTAGGTTGGGGGGCTGGGGACAAGGTTGGAACGCACTGCAGAGGGTGAAAATGTGAGTGACAAGGGGGCTCCCAGCCTCAGTGATTTCCCCTTCCCTGTCCCCTCTTGAGTTGGGACTTGCCTCACCATGACCTTACACCACCTCCCCACCCCTTGGCCTTATCAGATGTCGAAAATGGGCAGGATTTCTTGATCTGATTAGGGGAGAGCCTGCCCCCACCTACCTGTGAGTACCATGCGCATGAGCATATCCCGGATGAAGGTGGCATTGATAAACTCCCAGAGCCAGCGTCCATGGGTCAGCAGGTAGTGGACAAAAGAGGGGCTGGGCCGCAGTGTCACCCGGAGCCAGGTCCACAGCTCAGCTGCAGGGCGATAGGAAGCAGTCAGTTTGGGCCCTCTTGGCAGTACCAGAGCAGCCTGAGAGGCAGGTGAGAGCTGGGCAGGAGGGCCCAGATGGGAAAGGGAAGTCATATGGGGCAAGTGAGTAAGGATGGGGCCCTGGAAGTCATGCCACATGTCAGAGTCAGAACCAAAAATGATGACAGGGGACAGGGACCAAGGTGGGGGCCGGCCAGTGAAGACTCCCTGCAGAGCCCAGAACTAGGATGAAGGATGTGCTGGGAGGGAGAGCTCAGGCTGGAGTTCAGAGAGAGTGTCAGAATTAGAAAGAGAATGAGAACGGGGCCAGGTGAGGGTCTGGGAGGAGGAACCCAGGGGCCATGGGGCCAGTAGGGGTGAGATGTAAAGGGGGTAGGGGCTGAAAGCCCAGCTCACGGATGGTGCAGTTGGGGCCGGAGTAGCCTGTGCGGGTGCAATCACAGTGGTAGAGATCCAGACCAAAGCGGACGCAGATGCCCTGATGCTGGCAGGGATAGGAGCAACAGGGGTTCACTGTGGGTGAGAAATGGGCATTAGAGACTGTAGGAAGGCCCCCAGCCCCCCATCCTGCCCTGGATGGGGAAATGCAGGACCAGAGGTGTGTATTCAAGTCCCAACTCTGCTCTTAGTCACCGAGTGACCCCTCTCTAGATGGCAGGGTCCCCTTCAGGACCCTCCCTCATGCCATAACAGTCAGCACAACACCCTAGCCCTGCCATTGCGGGCCCGCCTCTGGAGCTCCAGCCTGGCCCACCACAAGACCGGGGGGAAGTCCCCTCCCTCCCTGCTGCTACCACAGGCCAGGGACGGCAGGCTGGACTCCAGGCAGTGGCCTCAAAGGCTAGGAAACAACTGATAACAGACTACAGTATGGGCTTCTAGGGCATTCACTTCCTGTCAAGTCAGGGTTTAACAGGAAGGGCTGGTTTTGTGGGGCTCCAAAAAGGGACAGGGGTGTGGGTCTCTCAAGTTGGGTGAGCACCTGGACATTAGAACAACGAGGTCTCTCTCCCAGCCTGCCACCCCCATTTTGGCAGGAAGAGAGGAAATGCAGGCATCCCGATTCCCACGTTGTAGATGGGGAAACTGAGGCCAGGAAAGAAGGAAACCCAGCTAGTCCCCCCAGCCCCACTGCCTCACCCTCACGCACACCCTCTGTACTGGCACAGGCTCAGCAATCAAGTTCAAAGGGCCAAGCCTTCTATAGGTGTGGGGGCAGAGATGAGTTGAGAGGCTGTGAATCAGCCTTAGCCCAAGTCAGAGGAGGCTGGTGGGGGGGCTTTAGGGTTCTGGAGAAAGTCAGGGGCTGAGGGCTTCACGGGAGAGAAGCAGCTGGAACACCTCCTGAGTGAGTGGGTGAGTGGGTGGGACTCAGGCAGCAGCCTTCTGGCCTCCTGGAGAAACCCCCACAAGGAAGTTCCTCCTCCTGTCTAACCCAGAGCTCACTGCCTCAGCGATTCCTGGAACAATGCAGACTTGTTGGAGCTTATGTGGGTCCACCACGCAGTGCCGAGCCCTCCCAAATGGGGTGGCCCCTTGGCCAAGGCCGAGAGCAGAGCCGGGGCTCCTGGCGGCAGACTTCTTCCCCAGCCTTCCCCAGCCAGTGCCTGCTCCCTCTGTAAACATACACGTGCTTCCGGGTCTGGGCTCAGCGCCAACAACGCAGGGAACTTCTGTTCTCTGTAAACTGATTGTTGGGGGTCAAGAGGCTAACAGACGTGGGGAGAAGCCCGGCATGAAATGGTCAGCTGTCTCAGGGACCCTGGTTCAGAGGACATAAGGTTGGGCAAAACCTGACTCTTTGGGTCTCTGTCACCTGATTTCACATCGTGGGGCTTTTCCTGGGCAACAGGGTCCTTCCTCCCAGCCCCTACCTCAGAGAGGGCCCAAGGCACTACCCCTTCTCTCTCTTTCTCTCTCTCTCTCTCACACACACACACACACAAGCGCGCGCCTGGAAAATGAGAAGAATCATACCAGCAGGTTTGCTTAAGCCTTGGTAGCTCTCCACAGCCCTGAGGTGGGCATCAGAGTGGTCCTGGCAGGGATGCGGGAGGGCGAGACAAGCAGGAAGGCGGCAGGATGCACAGGCCATATCGGGCTGACTCAGGCAGCGCTGGCAGCCAGGACCAGGGCCAGAGGACCGAGTAAGCGAGGTGAGCCCAGTGTGATGAGAACATGGGGAACTATTCACTACAGACCACTAAGACGGCCTGTGCTCATCCTACTGACTGGTCCTCCATGCCCATCAGGGATTGTCCACTGGACAGGAGGCTTTGGCTCCGTCACAAGGTGCCGTGGGGCCGGGAGAGACACAGCAATGTCAGTCACACGTAGGAGCAGAGCCTTGGGTGTTGTGAACAAGAAAAGTGAACTGGTTCACTATGAATAAGTGAGCATAAGGAAGCCTTGCTTACTGGCTAATCTGCCCCTGAGCAGAACCTCAGGACCCCTGCCTCCCTTCCCCCAGGCCCCAAAATGGAAGATCAGGGTCATCCCCAGAGCTGACGCCGGGATCTAGCCCCTCACAGCAAGGATTCCTCACCCCTGGCTCAGCTTGCCTTTTCATTCCTCCTCACAACACCCCGCTCACCTGCCTGACTCACTGCCCACTGCCCAGCTCCCCGCACCCCACGCCTCACAAGGCCCTCTGTCATCGATGGTCCAGTCCTGCCAGTCATCAGGCAGATGGGCAAAGGCCCATTTCTCCTCAGTAGGAAGGAGCCTCAGTGGCATCGTGGTGAAGCACAGCACGTGACAGCGAGGTGTGAGGTTGGTGGTTCAAACCCACTCCAGAGCTCCATAAAGAAGAGGCTTGGCTAGCTGTTTCTCCAAAGCTCACAGCCGAGAAGTCCCTCTGAGGGTGGTCCTGTTCTGTGCCTGGGGGGTCAGCATGAGGCAGAGTTGACTCAACAGCACCCACCACCGTCTGCCACCACAGGAAACCCAACGCCCAACCCACTGCCACCCAGGCCATTCCAGCTCATAGTGACACTATCGTTGGAGTAGAGCGGCCCCTGTGCGTTTCCAAGGCTCCAAAGCCTTGTGCTTCTCCCTCAGATTGGCTGGTGCTTTCTGAACAACTCAAGCAATTTCTAGAGTTCCTCTCCTCCCTTAGCCCCTAGGCTGAAAGATCTTCAGCTTTTAATGAGTCTGTTGCCCTTTCTGAATAAATTTCCTCCGAACCACCTGACACTCGGGACTGGGTCTTCACGCCTTACTTTCCCTAATACCCTGCTCTCCCTCACGCAGGCCACAGACTCCAGTGCTACCACCCTTCTCCCCTGTAAGCTCCCAAGAGAAGGGGTCCTACCTGCCCTGCCTTTCTCCCCGCGCCTCCCCACCCCACACCCAACACAGGGCTGTAGACTCCATTTGGGGCTCTGTGGTCCTACCGACCGACAACCCCCAACCAGGTCTGGGAGATCCTTGGCTGCCTGAGGGGCCCATGTGTACTGGCCAGAGCTCCACAAATGCATGTTGAATTAATAAATTAAGGAAACGATTGCTTCCAGCTTGGCCACAGAAACTTCCCTGCCCTCAGCAGCTCGCTCTGAAGTGTAGCATGAAGCCCTCCTGCCCTCCCTCCAGAGTCCTGCCCAAGCAGGCAGCCAAGCTAGGAACCTGGCGCTGCCCAGATCCCCTTCCTACGGAGAGAAGGGAGGCGCCTCCTCCGGCCTGGCAGTCCAGCTTTCCCTCCCTCCCTCCTCCCTCACATTTTTCCATAAACACCAGCTGCCCTGGGACAGGAAAACTTCTCCCCAACAAGGACACCAGCTGCCACAGAGACCCTAGGGATGCCAGGGTGAGTGGAGAGGAGACAGGGTGACGCCCTCTGGAGGATGAACTTGACCGCAGCTGGACCAGGAAGGCAGGTTCTTGCTCACTGAGTGTGAGAGCTCACATGCCTCCCACTGGTTGACCAGCTCAGCACCCCTCAGGAGGGCACGCCACGAGGGGTATGGGCTCAGAGAAGACAGGAGGCTTGCCCACGCCCCACAGCTCCCGAGTGGCAGGGCCAAAGCTTAAACCCGCGTCTCTTCCCCATGTCTTGGAGGAGCTCTAGGCCTGGAGCTGGAGAAGGGATGAAGGATGGCCCCCAGAATCTCCAGGTGAAAAAAGACCCCAGGTGAGGTATGTCTATCATCATTTCTTCAAGACTGGGACCTGAAAAATCATGAATGAATAAAACCAAGACCCCAGAGGGATCGCCCACCAACCCCTCCTACAACCCGAGCCTTGGAAGCTATTTGTAAGAAAGAGCATCATTCAGTCTAGCCTAGAGCCTGCATGCCTTCATGCCAGCCCAGTCCTTTGCTCAGCAGAGGGCAAAGTGATCCCAGAGTGAGCCACCAGAAAGGAGAAATGCCGAAATGCCCGTACTCAGTCTACTTCATCTTCAGTCCCAGAACCCAGCTCAGGACCAGGCACCAAACAAGTGCCCCTGACCCAAACACTAGAAAACCGGAGGCCTCCTTGCCACGGAGTAGATCCCAACACCTGGCAACCCCACATGCTTCAGAATAGATCTGCACTCCCTAGGATCTTCTAAGGCAGCAACCATGCAGAGGCAATTCACCAGGCCTTTCTTCTGCGATACCATGGGGTGGATTCCTTCTGCCAACCTTCCTAGTGGAGCACAAACCATGTGTGCCACCCCCCTGGGTCCTCACTCACTCCACTGTCATCAGGCCGATGCTGGCTCTTAAGGACTGTGAGTTCCGCGACTGTGAACTCCTTATGGGCGTGAAAAGCCTCATCTTTCTCCCATGGAGCAGCTGCTTGTTTTGAGCTGCTGAACTTGCAGTCAACAGCTAATCTCCATTGGCTGTGTGTCCTTGAGCAAGACACTACCCACCTCTGGCATTTGTTTTCCAATCTATCCAGGGAAGCTCTGAGAGCCCCTGTTCTGACATTCTGCCGCCTTCTTCATTCAGTGAGAAGGGTCGATCCTTCTCCATGATTTCTGTCACTATGCTGCTCCCACCCCAACCCCATCAGCAAGAACTTTACGACTTGCTCCCATGAGGTCCCCAAGATAGTACAGGGGGGCAGGTGATGAGCATGCCCATGCTATTCGTGAGCTGGAGGGGATGGGGGGCAATGGCGAGGCAACTAATTCACCTTCCCACAGACTAGAATGGTTCAGGACAGCCTGGTTCTAGAACCCTTCCCAACGATTTGGACAAAGAAAAGCTCCTTCTTCCCCCAGCCCCCACCTCAAGCTCTATCCAGGAATCAGAGCTGAGCACAGCAGGGGAATCCCATGCCCAACAGAGAGTCAAAGTGAGAGTCAGGGAGGGGGCCCATCAAAGTGGCTAACTCCAAATCCCTAAAGAATAATATTTAGAGAAGCTGCAGGGGGCTGGTAGTCAAAGAGCACTCAAAGGCTCTGAGGAGCCTGGCAGGGTCCAGCCTGGATACCCGGCTGAGAATGCACCGAAGGCCAGCACCCCCACACCAGGCCTAGACAACCGAGACCAGCAGCTGAAAGAGCCCGGCTGGACAGGAAGCCCCCTCCCAGCCCACAGACCCAGCTGCTGCTGGAGATAGGAGGCAGCAGGCAGTAAGCAACAGAGAGGCCTCAGCACGGGCTGGGCTCCTGTCCACATGCCAGGGTAATTGGTCTTCAGGCCTCTTACCTGGCAGAAAGGGAGCTGTGTGCCCATCCCTGGCCCAGGGGCATGGTGCTAGGCCAAGTCCAGGAGCTACAGGTGGTGAGCCTGAGCATCAAGGAGTCCCTGGTATGGCCTGGTCCTCCAAGCTGGGCTCCATCTCCTCCCTGCAGCCCTCACCTCCTGGAGGACAGGCTTCCTCTGCCCTTCTAAGGGACAACACCCAGGCGTTGGCTTCCTGAGGCAAAAGTTCAGGCAGCTTGAGCCTCAGCTCATCATCAAGTCCTGCAGTAAGCCAAACCCTCTGACCCGACATCTCACTTGTGATCTGCTCTGCCCTTGACCTTGCATTAGCTCCTTATGCTTCCTGGCCTCCAGTCTCATCCCCCTAAGGCATCTCTCTACCCTCACTCTCTCACTCCCCAGCACACTCACACTCCCGACCAAAGGCCAAGCTCCTCGCCCTGGCCTTCGAAAGCCCTTGTTGTCTTGAACTTACAAGTCACCCCAGCCTCATGTCTTCTTCTCCCAAGCACCCATCTTCCTCTCATTGTTCAGACCTACGTGCCATCGTGCACTCACCTCCCTCAGCATTCACCACACACCCCTCTGTCCCCCTTGTTCAAGGGTTTCTTCTCCTTGCATAACAGGCTGTTGGCATTGCTGTCTCCCCTATCAGACTTGAGCTCCTCCCTTTCTCTATCTCCAGGACCCAGCCTGAATCTGGCACAAAGTGAGCCCTAAGAAATGTTTGTGGACTGAAACAATTCCATTTAAACACATGTGATATAAAGGTAAGTGGAGAAGGCCAAACGGAAAATGGCCCAGACCACCCAGCTCCTAGGGTGCTCGGGATAGACAGAGGAAGCCAAACAGGGCTGGCCCCACATGCATGAAGGGCCAGGATGTGACCCGGGCAGGGCCACAGAGGAAGTACAGGGCTGATCCAGGGGCTGATAAGGGTCATAGGGGCTGTCTGGGCAGCCTGGCTGGTCCTCAGCTCACTGCAGGTCTTAGACAAGTGTGTTCACACCGCTGGCCGTGGAGGTGCCAAGAAATAGATGCACACAACCTTGTCCTGACAACTGTGACATGATAGCCACGTGAGTTTCGCATCTCTTATGTCCCCAGCCCAGACCTCTGCTCAGACCCAAACCGGGGCCTGGAGTACCCGCCCCGCCTTGGTTTCCCCAGTGCCCCCCCCCCAATCCTCTCCTCCAAGAAACCAGGTCTCATTTTACAGAGAGGTATCCCTATCACTACCTCCCCCCCTACACACACACACACACACACACACACACACACACACAAGTGCGCAGGAAGCTCAGAGCAGAGGCTGACTGAGTGAGGTGTCCTTCATCTGCAACCTCCCAGGCAGGCGCCATGGGGCACAGGCAGGGATCTAACAGGCCTGGGCTCTCCCTGTCATCCTGGGGGATGAAACCCCAAGGAGCCCAGGGTCCACTGAAGAGGGAGGGGTGTCAACTAGCTGCTGCACTCAGGTCTCCACCCAGGAGCAAAAACCTTGCTTGCAAAGGTTTCAGATCCTGCCCCCATGGTGTACAGGGTGAGCTTTGAGACGTTCCTAAATTTCCTCAACTGCACAAGGTTTAACCTCTAGTATAGACCCAACTCCCTAATTGTATGCACACACACACACACACACACACACACACACACCACACCACCCCATCTTCCCAGAGGGCTAGTTATTTGGGGCCCTCGCCAGGGGAGACCCATCTGCACTAGGGGTTGGCGTCAGCATGAGTCCCTGAAAAATGAAAAGTTGAAGAGCCTAAGTTCTCTGAGCCGCTTTGCCCTGGAGCCTCCAGCTTCTTCCGAAAGAGGCCCCCACGGAAACATGGGGTGGTGAGCCCCAGGCAGTTTAGACAACTGGGGGCTCAGCAAAGGTAGGCGGTCAGTTCCTACTCCCCCAGTTACTCCCTGCTCCGCTGCTCCTCCCGGAAAAGAACTCATTAACTCATGAAAAAGAACTCATTAACTCCTGATCTTGCCCCTCCGGTATCGGAAACCACCCCCCAACTGCCTCCGCAGCCCCTTCCCCCTGCAGGCCCCTCGGGCAGAAAGGGGAAGCTGGGCCCGCTGGCGGGGAGAGGAGGGAATGGAGCCGGGCCAGGGGTGGGGGTGGGGTGGGGGGTCCCTGTGGCAAGGAGGGGACCACCTACCCGGCGCGGGCGCCCCGGAGGCCACTGCCAGGACCGGGGGCGTGGGCAGCAGCAACAGGAGCAGCGGGACCCGGAGCGAGAGGCTCTGCCCTGCAGAGGGAGAGAGACTGGGTGCTGAGCCCGGCGGCATTCAAGGCTTCGCGGGGTCCCGAAGAAAATCCCTGGGCGCGCCGACCGACCTCCCTCCCGGGCGGGACTCACAGCTCATGGCGCGCGGACGGCTGGTGGGTGTTGGACGCCGGGAGTGGACTCCGTGGTGCGTCTCCAACCCTGCCTGGGCTCTGGCCCGCTCGCCCGTCCCCTCCCCACCCATCCCCTGGCTCCACCCCCGCCCCTCCCTCCAGCTGTCACCTCCGCTGTCCACCGCCGCAGGGACGCGTTATTAATTACTTGCAAGAGGACCCAGAAGGAGTTTGCCCGGAATCCCTGAGTCGCGTCCATTTGGAAGATTGGAAACTGAGGCTCAGAAACTTTCCGAGCAGCGCCGAGGTCACCCGGCGCCGAAAGGGAGAGTCCAGCTGGCTGGGAGCCAGGGGTCTGAGCCCCGCGCTCTGCCCTCCTACCGCTAGAAAGGGGCAGCGCAGCCATCGGTCCCCTGCAGGGACCCGCGGGGGAGATTGTCTTTCCCCTCGCCGCGGCGCTGGACTCCCCTGTGAAGCCACCGAGCTCCACAGGTGGCTCCTGCTGTCAGGACCTGGGGAACAGGCTCCAAGTCTGTGAGATGTGACCTGAGACAACTCTCTTGACCTCCTCGCTGTGCCACCCAGGAGAAGGCACTTACCCTCTCTGGTCCCTAGGGTTCTCATCTATACAGTGGGGGAAAGAATTAAACCCACCCCCAGAGGATTGTTGTAAGATAGGATAAGATGAGATAACGGACACACACACACACACACACACACACACACACACACACACCCTGAAACCCAGGTGTGGTGTCTAGCACAGAGTCAGGCTCAATTGTTGACAGACATTTTCCTCAAAGCTCCTGTACTCAGGCCAGGTCCACCCAGTGTCCATGGTCTAGCGGATCAACCCCTGCTGGCCTGCTTGGCTGTCTTTTCTTTTTTTGTTTGTTTTCTGTTTTCTTTAACAGCTATTTCAGGTGATCCTCCCATGAGAGAAGGCTGAGCCTGCGGTCACATGGTCGTAGCTCCCCAACCGCAGGTTCTCTCCCTCGGCTTGCCTACCACACTCAGCTAGTGTTCGGGGCTCAGAGCCTGGAAGGTCTGGCAGGAGGGAGCAGAGGTCTGTGCTGGCTCCCAGGGGCATCCCCTGGCCCAGGGTGGAACCCATGCCAGGTGAGATCTGCTAGGGGACACCTCTGCCTTTCCAGCCGGAATGAGCTGTTCCCAGGGTCCGCTTGAACAAAAGCTAACCAGAAGCTGCCTCCCTCCTGTATGGCAGACCAGGGGAGGAAATGGGGCTCTAGCCCTCCCCTTGACCCCAGATCCACAGCCCTCCAGTAACTGCTCTTACAGGGTGAGGAGGTGGGAGTCCTGAGCGAATCCGCACAGAAGGACAGGTCAACTTAGGGATTTGAGAGCCCAGTTACTCAAGAGGGGTGGGGTGGGAGTGGAACGGCGAGGCTTTCTGGCGATGTAAGGAGAGAAGAGCTGGAACTAGACTCTTCCACTCCCAGCTCCTCCCTCCCTCCCTCCAGGTCCTGAGCCCAGCAAGTTACCTCCTGCCAGCATCTCTTCTCACCCCACCCTGCCCAGCACTGAAATAAACACTGTGTGGCTCTGGGGTTGGGGGGAAGAGCCTTACCATGGGAATCAGAAGAACTGAGTTTTCAAATCTAGATGTGACCTTAGACAACTCTCTTGACCTCCCCAAGCCTCTGTTTCCCCTGTTGGAACAAATAGCAATGTTCGATCAGGTGGTCTCTGGAGACAGATCCAGTGCTGACATGCAGTGACTGAGCCCTCCTTGAGGTCTGGCTCCAAGACCGGAGGTTTCGAGGTGGATGAATGGTGAGGCCCGTGGCCAACGGGAACAGATCATGTGCTGGTGCAGTGGCTAAAGACAGAGTATGGGTCAGGAGGGGTAAGGTGAAGCAGAGGGGAAGGAGTAGAGCAGATAAAGATCAGCGAGGAACGGGGCAGACGTGCTAGGATGTAGAACTGATTGACACTGGCCCTTCCAAGAAGCAGAGGCGTAGAGAAAGACACTCCTGTTTCAGAGGTTGGTGGTAATACCCAGGGAAGACCTGGGAATGGACCAGGTTGGGGGGGGTGGGTGAGGGTAGCAAGTGGTATGTGGATTTTGACAGGTTTTGCTAGGCAGTCTCAAGAGAGGGGCCAAGCATGCCCGTGGAGACCCATGGAGAGGTCCTAACCCTTGCCTCTTCCCTGGGAAAAGAACTGCGGCGTAGAGTCACCTCTCGCCCCGCTCCAACGTCTATGGTCTAAATGCCAAAGGTGATTTCCTAATCCCTGATGATGAATGTCCACTCATCAAGCAAGACTCAGTCCTGGTGTCCTCTAAAAAGTCACCTCCTGTCTCCGCTGGTTACAGTGACCTCTTGGTCACACCTGAACTCTCAGGGCCCAGTTGATAGAGGATGCCCATTGCATATTGGTTGGTTGAGAGAAATGAACAAAGTGTCCATGGGGAATGATTGGACGGATGGGGGAGAATATGGAACCTCTATGAGGTTGAGGCCAGGCTCATCATTGTAACTGCCAACCCATCCATCTGCTGTGACTACCACCAAAACAGTCAGCACCCTGTATCAGTTTCCTGTCTTCTCCGGCAGGGTCCATTGACCTCCAACACCCCTACAGGTCCAGCTTCACCCTAGACCCTGAGCCCTTCCTAGTCAAGTTAAGGATACTCTGCTCTTCCACCTCCTAGTGACATGAGGTGAGGTTTCTCTCTCTTCTCGACACCAAGGACATGTCATCCTGCCCACCCTACCAGAGGCCTTCGCTGGGGCCTGGGTTTGAATGACTACAGCCATATTCCCCCCTTGTTAAACCCCACCCATGAGAGCTGACTCTTAACCTGAATCGCTCATGGGAGTGCCCCACCCAGCCACACCTCTTCATGCAGCTTCTGAGCCGGACAAGAAAGTTCAGGAGTCAACCGAACATCTCTTCAAATCCCAAGTGGCACACACACACACACACCACCACCAACAACACCAACAACAACAACTCTCAATGTGACCTTAGGCATCCAACTGACCTTCTTGGATAGCAGGGGAGTCTGGGGAACTGAGTTAAAATCATGATGTGACCTGAGATCTTCCACTTTCTCTCCAAGCAGCAGAGTCCCGCCCCTCTCCCCCTCTTTACCCACTCAGTGCCAGACCAGGACAGGGCACTGAGATAACAATAACCCCAAACTCACTGCCTCGAGTCCCTTCTGACTCATAATGGCCCATGGACAGAGAAGAGCCACCCCTGTGGTTTCCTGAGTCTGTAAATCTTTATGAGACTGAGAAAACCTCCTCTTTCTCCCACCGAGCACTAGTGGGTTTGAACTGCCCGACAGATAATCCACTGCACCACTAGTCCTCCTGGCAAGTAATAATTGCTGCTATTTAGTGAATACTCACGATGTGCCTGGCAGAGGGCTGTGTGTTTTACATGCACAATCACACGATGACGTCAGTATTATTTTCCGTGTTACAGAGAAACACAAAATTGAGGCCCAGACCGTGCTAAGATGACTTACCCACGTTTGCACAAGTAAAGACCCAGCCTCCGTCTTCTGGAGCACCAAGCGGCAACATGCCCAAGGTCCGGCACTGCCAGGCTATGTTTGAAGTTAACTCACTGCTGGTGAGTCAGTTTCGACTCATAACAACTCTATACCACAGAAGCCCCTGTGGGTTTCCGAGACAGTAACTCTTTAGGGGAGTAGAAAGCCTCATCTTTCTGGCAGCAGTTGGTACGGAACTGCTTTTAGAAGGGACCAAAATGCATTGTCTGGTCAAGGCAGTGGTGGGGGGTGGGGAGTGGAGCAAGGGAGACAGTCTGATGGAAAAAAGGGATCCGTTTCGAGCTAGGAGTGGTAGCTCTCCCAGGGCCCCTCGATGGGTCACGCATTAGAGGGGCTGGGGAGCCTCATCTCCTTCCTAGCTCACAAGAGCCCAAGTTCTCTTCCCGTCCTCATTTGTGTGAACAGGAGACCTGACTGACCTGCTAACAGCTGGCGAGTGGAAAGCCGAAACTTGAACTCTGGTCTCTTTGATTTCAACATCTACAAGGTTAACTCCCTGCTTCACTCCAGCCCTGACTCTCTCAGGGCCCAAACCCTGGAATGTCCAAAGACCCAAATCCTAACAGGACTGAGCCAAGGAGGCAGATAAACAAACAGGACATTGGTGAGTGGAGAGTCCCCAAGCCGATGTGGGGAGTTTCCACTGCAGGGTCCCCTGCCGTACAGAGCTCACCCCAAGGCTGGCCAACACCAACCAGCACAAGCGCCATCCTTACCAGTCATGCCCCTGGCATCCTCTCCACCCGCCCTCACCATCAGTCTTATCTCCTGAGCATCAGACATCAGCTCCTGGGATCTGGAGACCCGGGCAGGCTGTGGCCTGTGACGGAAGAGCTCTGGCTGAGGGACGATAGTTGCTGAGGCTAACAAACTTCAGTTCCCTCGCCCCGCTCCTCCTCTGGCCGCATTAGATAGAGCTGAGGGAAGACTACTCTTTTTATGGCCCTCCTTTGATGTGTGACCTACTCTCCTCATTCTGCCAACACTGTGCCCAGACCTTACCCTGGCCTTCAGACCCCTTCATTCACTGCTCAGCAGGATGTCATGGAAGAACCCTGGAATGGGGCCACAAAAGTTCTCCCTGAACTACTCTGCCACCCTGGGCAAGTCAGCCTTCCCCCTGGACCTCAGTTTCCCCGCCTGGTAAGAGATCTGTTGAATTAGATGTGCTAAACACGGGAGGCTAGGGCTTGAGAGACCTTCTGGACCTGACTGTCAAGCCCAGCTTCAATATTCTAGTTGTATGGCATTAAGGCTGTTATCTGTCCCCTCGGAGCCTCAGCGTCCTCATCCGAAAATGAAGACTTATTTCCTAGAGCCATTCTGAGGACAGGATCACTTAGCTCATTTCCTGGCCCAGAGAAGCTATTTTGGCAAATGCTAATTACTGGTAGAATAGCTATGATCACTCAGTCTCCTCCCATATGATCCTAGAGCAACATTTGTACTAGATGTATAGAAAGAGGGTTTTTAAAAATAATTTTATGGGGGGGCTCATACAGCTCTTACCACAA